TTGCCCAGTAAAGCCTGATGAGCCGAACTGCTGCCCTGCTCAGCTAGTTCAGGCATGCCATCTCAATTGCACTGAATTACTGAGTTGCTCTGCCCTCTGTTTTTGCACACTAGTCTTTCCCTTACGTTACTTCTTCCTGTCCCTGTGCTGTGGTGTAACTCCCAAACCCCGAGTACTAGTATTGACTGAGCAAAAGCAGAATTTGCTTATGTGAAACATTTGCTCCTCCCTGTATATTCCCCAAAGGATTGTGCAACTGCCTTACACAGAGAACTCTCCTGGACAAAGAAGGTCATGGTGTTTGTCCCAGGCAGCACTGAACATGTTGTCCATGTTCACCAAATGACAGTGATAGTTTACTTCATGCTGTAACAGCCACTGGTCTCTGCCTTGAGCAAAACTCTGGGCACAAGGAAATAGGTCAGTGGCTGTGGCTGATGGAACATAGCATGCAGCCCTCTGGCTGTCAGCTGGCAGTGACCACTGCATGGGAGCTGTGTTTTGTAATGCATCATTGTGGTTGGATTTATATTTATTAGGTGTTTGGCTGAAGGTGCTGGAGAAGTTGCTTTTGTGAAGCACAGCACAGTGCCTGAAAATACCGATGGTAAGTCATTCAGAAGCTTGTTGAATAGTGGCTCCAAGGTCTGGAGTATGGTATCTGTAGTGGCAATGTAATGTCAAATGCTTGATTTATTTTGAATTGAGGAATCAGCAAAAAATGCTCTTAGTAGCAAAACCAGATTAACCTACTGCTGTCTGCTTCAGGAGATAAAGAAGATCTGGTGTTCCTTTTTCTTTATAAAGTGCTTTATAGTTTCAGTAAACATTAGGGGTGGAATCTTAAGCTTTTTCAGGAAAGACATCTCAGGCAGCACTGAACTCTTAGTTTTCTACAGACCTTGGCATGTTGCTCATGCCTTTCCAAGGATTTCAGCAGAGGCTAGCAGAAAGTTAACAAGATGTGGCCTCCCCTATCTGACACTTTGTGAAATATTATTTTAATATCATGGGCCCATCTGACCATCACTTACAGGGAAAAAACAGTGTTGCATGTGTTCCTAGATGTAGGGATGCTGTTGATACTGCTACGAACCCCAGTGCAGTTCTGTGCAGTCTCACAAGTGTTAAGCCCTTTAGTCTGGTGTTTCTGATAAGACAACAAAGGATCGCATAGATGCATAGGATATGTTGTGCAGTCAGGAAGAGTTCAAAGATGCTCAGATGTTTTCTGCTCTGCATGTGATACTTGAACCGGATGTGGAGCTAGAAGCATCAGCCTCACCTGACGTCTGTTCCACAAGCATGTTCTGTCTGATTTCAGGAAGAAGTCTTTCTTCCTGGGCCCAGCGGCTTCGCTCCCAGGACTTCCAGCTTCTGTGCCCCAGTGGCAACACAGCTGATGTGACAGAGTGGAGGACCTGCCACCTGGCCCGAATCCCAGCTCGTGCCGTGGTTGTGCGGCCTGATACAGATGGGGCAGTTGTCTTCCAGCTCCTGAACCAGGGACAAGTAGGACACCATTTTTTTCATCATTTTACAGGGGTTTTCCCGTCTGCCTGGCTGGACTGAAAACAGGATATTTGGGGACTTTCAGCTCTGTGGGGCTTGAAAGGGGTATGGGTTGTCACATCCCGGGTAGAGGGATTTGTGACAGGTGCTTTTTTTTCTTTTAATACTACAGCGAAGATTTAATGGGTTTGGCACCAAGTTTCAGATGTTTGACTCTGCAGCCTATGGTGCCCAGAATCTTCTGTTCAGAGACTCCACCGTAGAGCTTGTTGCAATCACAGCTCAGAATTACCAGGCATGGCTGGGTGATGAGTATTTTCATGCTATGCAAGCTCTGAGCTGCAACCCCAACAGTAAGTTGTCTTGATTCCTATTCATACCCAAGAACAAAAATAGCTGATAACAAACACCATCTTTATTCTGCTTTGTTTTCTTTGGAGGGTTGTGGCAAGATGCCAGTCTAATGTTTGAGCATAAAGAAAGGTCACTTTTTGACCTAGAAACAGTTTCACTTTATGATGAAATTGGCCCACTTTGTGCTACAAGATGCAGGCATTTCCTACCCTTTCAGGTGTATGAGACTCATTAATCTGGGAAGCTGCTACTGCCACCTGGTATTCAATTTCTTACCTGCTAACAAGGGGAAATTGTAATGTATTGCTGTGTAAATCCTCAGGTAGTCTATAAAGAATGGATTAATGGTTTCCTAGCAGAATTTCCTCCAGAAGCTGAAGAAATCAGCAGTTGCTTTTTATTGAAAGGTTACAGTGTTTTATACTATTGGAAGGATATACAGTTTGCATTCTGGCAAAGTCAGAACCACGGGCTGTAAGAAGCCCTGGCTAAAGATGAATTAATAATTATGCAACTGAGTCTCTCTGATGTGCTCTGTGCTGTGGCAAAGTCCCCCATCGCCTGGACTTGTCTCTTGTAGAAGGCTGCTCAGTGACTGTCAGGCCTGTGGAAGCCTGTGTTCAGGGTATGGTTTTGCTGCACTCAGCTAACATGTTACGGCTGTGCTTAATGGTCAGCAATTCTAGGAGTTCTTGTCCCTTTCCTATGGATAGGTTTGCAGTGTGGACACAGCACTTGTCTAGAGAGCTCTGCAGTGCCTAATCAAGTGTAAGTCTGAGCTGGGGAGAGGTGACAGTGGGCAGTTGAGTCCCTCCTTGTCTATTACGAAGAAAATGAACTGTACTATTTCCTTTCCAATTTTGTGCAGCCTTGCCAGAAAGCCTGAACTGGTGTGTTGTATCCACTGAAGAGATTTGGAAATGTGGTGAAATGGCCATTGCTTTTAAGAAAAAGAATTTGAAACCAGCAATTCAGTGTATTTCAGCCATGACAAAGGAAGAGTGCATGAAACTGATCCAGGTAGGCTGCTAGAGTCCTTGTGCAATAAATCAAATTCCCACAAGCTGCTCTCTGCTGGGTAGGTAGGTTCAGAGAGACATGCACTTAGGTGAGCAGCAGACCAACCAAGATGTGTGCTGTGATGCAGCAATCCTGTCATTCACAAGACCCAATCCATGTTCACTAACTGAGCTGCAGAACCTATCTCAGACTAAGATCTCTGAAATGGAAATCAGACAAAGAAATCGTGGAAGGCAGAAATTCCTGAAATGAACTACTGCACACCTCTTGGAAAAACAGGCAGCTGTGAGGTACTGATTACAGCGTGTTCTACAGACCTCACCAGGAGAAATCCACAAGCAATTCTGCTTTAAGTAAAGACAGTTCTTCTCCCAACACTCAAATAAGCAGTCTGAATGTGGGTTGGGTGGGCAAGAATTGGACACATGGTGTGCTGGAGAAGTGTGAACCATACTTATAATAAAAAGAATTTCCCAATATTAAAGTCACTTTCTTTCCAACAGTTTTGCTTATTTCAGGTCTCCTTTGTCAAGTGACAGACTGGCTCGCTGTACAGGTGTGACACACGTGCTCCCAGGTCCATCACTGGGAATGTACATCATCTTCTCACAAGGACAGCAAATTAGTAAGTGTTAATATAAAATTATTTTTCAGAAGCAGGAATACTGAATTACAGGGAGGTGATCTGTAGCTCACATGGTATGGATGGGCCTGAACCCTGATGATCTTCAGTTGTGATGAGGGCATTATTGCCCATCTAGTTCAAGCTGTATGTATGAAATATCTTGTCTCTGTTTCACTGATGATGCTTTATGCAGGTTTTGGGGGTTTTCTTTAGCAGTCTGTTTCTCTTGTACTGTCAGAGTTGCCATTTCAGATGCAATAGTTATGATGCTAGAGGTGTCTTAGTTGTAGCAGGGAAGGTATCTACTGTTTTTTTACAGAAATCCCACATTTTATTTTTCAGAAAAAGGAAAGTGATACTGTTGTTCTGGGTGGAGCTGATATTTACACAGCTGGGAAGACATATGGCCTTGTACCAGCTGCTGGAGAAAGTTACTCTGGTAAGGTCAGGAAACATAAATACAGGCCTTAATTTTCCAGGTTGTTTGAAAACAGCTCTAAAAGCACAGCCTCTGTTCCTTAGTCCTGCTGGGAAAGTTGTTTTCAAAGGAAATGAGTATTACTATCCTCACATCATGGATAGAGGAGGAAGTAAATATGGGCTGGGTTCCTACAGTGACTTTGTGGCAACTTTTATCTGTCCTGCTGCAGGACCAGGTTGAGGCTTTGGCAGTTTTGAGTCTTGTACATCTTTATTTGTATTTTCACTTCCCCCAAAAATATTTACAATGGAAAAAAATCAGTATTCATAAAACCACAGAAATTACACAATAGATTCTAGTCTGTGTGGCTACTTGAGTCACCAACGAAAAGAGGGCTTGCGGTCACTGTGTCACCAAGGCAGAACTTCAGTACAGTGCAAAACTCATGGAAATTGTACTACAGATTTGAGTTTTCACATAAAAACAACTTCTTAAAGTAGTTTTGCTAAGCCACTATGGACCCAAACATTATTTTTCAGAGGGATGTGTTTGTAAGAGCTGATGTGAACAGGAACACTTTGGTATTCGTCGCGAGATCACTCAGTCCAAGTGTGTAGAGGCTGTGAGTGAATGCAGCATTTTGAGGTAGAAATGAAAAGTAATTGCGTGTACATTCATAATTCCTGACTAGCTGAGTGTTGGTGCAATTGAAGTTGGTACCATGTAAGTGTGGTGGATCTAGGGAATGCTTCAGGGAAGCTGAAGTGTGTTGTGTTTTTTCTGCAAGCTGAGGACAGCAGCAGCGCGTACTACGCAGTGATGGTAGTGAAACGAAATGCATCCAATGCTTTCACCATCCGTGACCTAAAGGGGAAGAAGTCCTGCCACACAGGACTGGGGAGAAATGCTGGATGGAATATCCCCATTGGGATGCTAATTAAGAGAGGTTTTATTAAGACCAGAGACTGTAATATTCCTCAAGGTAAGACAACAGTACTTCATACCAGAAAGCCTAATTATAGACTTTAATTAAGGAAGTAATTTTGATATTCCACAGCTTGATGTTAAGCTGATCTGTTCATGAAGGGATATGTTTTTAGCGTGATGCTGTGAAATCTTAAGTTTGCCACCAGAGTAGACAGAGAGTAGGATGCTCATTCCACTTTAATTGCTCTGGAATATCAATGTCTTTCTAACACTGGGAGCTCAAAACTTGGATGTCAGAGGAGAATCATCACTCCCCCTGGCTGCTCCACTGACACAATGCAGTTTGCCAGCCTTCACTGGCACAAAAGCACTGCTGACTCTTGGTCAGCTTATCCACTGGGAACTTCAGGTCCTTTTTTTACAGACATATCCCCTCTAGGTGGTACTTCCAGCTCTGGGATGTCAGCGCAGTAAATATAGCCCTGAATTTTACTGCTTTTATTTTCAAACTGTATTTAGTAATGGAGCCATGTAGCACAACAAACAAAGGATCTCTGACCATAGGACTCCAAATTCAAATTTTGCTTGCCTGTTTTCTATCTCAGAGCAAGCTCTCTGGTTTCTTTACACAAACAGGTAAATGGTGCCAACAATTTTAAAAGTTGTGTTTTGTGAATTCAGGTAAGGAAGCTGTAACTTGTGTTTTTAGTGTTGGTTCTAACTTCATCACAATGCAACTACCTTTCTTGTGAAGAGCTCACTCTTTTAATTGATTACATTGGTTTGTCTTTCTTTCCCCAGCCGTGAGTGAGTTTTTCTCTGCCAGCTGTGTGCCTTCAGCTGAGCTGGACAATTACCCATCAAAACTCTGTCAACTATGTATTGGAGATGACAGTGGAAACAATAAGTGCAGTGCAAGTAGCCAAGAGCGTTATTACAGCTACAGTGGAGCCTTCAGGTAATTAATACAGTTTTTGTTTAGTCTTGTCAGCTTGTCAAAATGCAAGGAGGAGCTATTTTCCATCCCAGTCAGCAGAAAGCAGTTCTTGTTGCTGCAGTGAGACTGCATGTGCGGTTAGTGAAGCAGGACACGTGTCCCCAGGTGTCTGCAGCAATGCAGCTGTGTCAGAAGGCTTTACATTAGATCATGGCAAAGCCTGTCACCAGCTTCCTGGCCCACAGCCAGCTTGATGACCAGCAGGCAAATCTGTGTCTATGTTGGCAGAGCAATAAGCACCCACCTAGTTGAGGGCCAAGAGGATTGCCATAGGTCTTTAATCTAGAGTGACAGACAGTCTGTCACTGAACGGTTGGGTCAGCCATAAAGAGCTTTAGCAGGAAAGCAGGCTAATAGTAGCTGCTGTAAGTCCATGCTGAGAGTGGGGGTGCCAGGAGTGGGTCTTCATTATCCTATCTTATTGGTAGCTGTATGTGAAGGTAGGTTTCTGAACAGCACGACCAACTATGACCAATGTTCAGATATCTAAACCTCTTCAAAACAAGACTTGTTAATGGTGCCAGGGAGAAAATATCATAACATGAAATAAATACTTAGTGTACTAATAGTAGACGTCTACATACGGGGCCATATCCAAAGCCTGTGAAACCCTTAGATATGGAACTACCATTTTCTTTTCTTGAACTTTCCTTCTGAAGGTAATGGTGCATGTAACAGAGCTGGCAGTGAGTGGTCTTTTTCCTTCAGGGGAGGGGACTTCAACAGCAGCTGCCTAGTAAATACTCAAGTGCTAGAATTAGATAACTACTTCTTGAAAAATCTGTCCAGCTGTTTGGCTGTGTTATATGCCTTGCAGGCAAATTCCAGATCCTCTCTGCTGTACTACTAGATTAGCAGAACTAGCTACCAGGCACTAAATGAATAAGCAACAAGTGCTGTTTCAAGCTGTATGAGTCTTCCTCATATTCTAAGGTTGTGCATTCAATAATAGTCCAAAACTTATTCAGAAATCGTGACTCTTTTTTAATAGAAAAGATTTTATTTCATTGTGTGATGTGGAAAGTTTTAGGTATTTAAAAGGTTCACATTTGATTAAAAGTGGTGGGTCACAATCTTCTACAAGGTAGGGATGGGTCTGGCTATGATGCTTGGGTGATCATCTCCAAAAGAGATTGAGTTATGACAGGTGACTCACATGAGCTTCAGATTCCAGATCGCTTTAGCTCTGGATATCTTCAGAGTAACCTGACTAGAAGTATGAGAGGTTACACGTTTTCTGTATTAACTCACTGTTTGGGGCAAATTAAAATGTGCGGAGTAGTACAGCAAAATCTGTTGGGAACAGTCTTTTCTGATGGGGAATGCACAGAACAACACCTACTGACTCTTCTGTTGTGCACATGACCGGGTCAAGCCACATGGTGGTAAGACCTTTGATTATAACTGCTCATGTTAAACATAGCTTATTGCTCTGGGTCCATTGCATTTGTTTGCAGGAAGGTATGAAAAAAAAATATCAAATTCTAAACCTATCAATTTTTAGGAAAAGAAAAAAAGGTTCACAAAAAGATGCTTTGAATTTATTTTTTCTTTCATTTCCTAAAGGTGCCTGGCACAGGACTCTGGGGATGTGGCCTTTGTGAAGCACTCAACAGTGTTTGAGAACACAGATGGTATTTAGTTTTACATATCTGTTGATTACAATTCAGTCATTTTTCTAGAACCTTTTTATTCTAAAGCATTCAATGAGTCACAGTGACCAGTTTCTTTTTTCAGGTAAGAATACTGATAGTTGGGCCCAAAACTTGAAATCCAGTGATTTCCAGTTACTGTGTCCAAATGGTGCCCGTGCTGAAGTCACCCAGTTTGCTGAGTGTCACCTGGCTCAAGTGCCAGCCCAGGCCGTTATGGTTCACCCAGATACCAACATTTTTGCTCTGTATGGACTCCTGGATAAAGCCCAGGTATTAATAATCCATTTATGCTGTGGGGGAGTTGCATATGGTCTAACACAGACCAAGGATAAGGACAACAGGACCATAGTGCCATGTTGTGTCCCCTGCATCCCAGGACTGGCTGTGTGTGCACTGTGCAGAGCCCCGTTGCTGGGAGTGGGAGGGAGAAGGTAAAATACAACCTGGGGAATTCTCCTAGTAAAACCACCCTGGTGCACAAGGGATTTCAATGATTTTTGCTCAGCCACTGGTTTCAGTAGTAATTCTTCTGGAGCTTAAGGTGTTTGACCAAACTGCATAACTTCAAATTCTCCAGGAAATAAGAGTACATGCTTACACTTTTCCATCCTGGAATTTTCCTGGAAATGCAACAGAGCATTGCTGGGTATATATATGCTACAGCCTTGAATATGGTAAACTAGCCAGACCATGCCTGGCTGCCACAGCTAAGTTCCTGACAATGCTGAAGCTAACTAGTTTAAAAGCAGTACAGGGTATCTCCATGCTAGGCCTCAGTCATTTCTGGAAATCCTGTGCAGCGAAACCCTATGCTACACAACAATATGTAGACAGAAAACCTTTTTTAAATACAGCTCTTTACAGATAATGACTAAAAAACCAAAATCACAAATGCTGTTCTTGTAATTGTCAGTGGCAGAATTCTGTATCTCATCTACTGGACCATCTAAAAGCAAATGCAAAAAAGACATTCTGCAATTGTATATGAACTTTTAATCTACAAAAAAAGTCCTCATTGTCTTTCATGTTGTATGAGAGGAATGTGCCAGTTAATCTTGAAAAATACTGAAACTTGTGCATTATTTTCAGGTCTACTTTGGAAATAACAGCAATGGAAACGGATTCAAAATGTTTGATTCTTCAGCTTTTCAAGGGAAAAACTTGATCTTTAAGGATTCTACTATTAAGATTGTGCCAGTAGTAGAGAGGAGGACACATGCAGAATGGCTAGGGCGGGAATATATTGAGTCTCTTGAAGGCCTGCAAGCACCACAGTGCTCTGGGGCAGGTAATGAGATAAGACAATACCTACTCATGACTACTGTTGTTGCCCTTCTTATTTTATGTCAGATACAAGGCTTGGACTAGCATGGTCCAAATGTTAACTGCCAGGCCACCTCTGCCCTGCCATGTTTTCTTCAGATAAGCTGCTGTTTGGATAACATGCTGTGCTAACATTTGAGTGCCTCTTTGCATGGCAAGTCCTAACAGCACCTGCTCCTCAGGGGAGTGGGGTGGGCCTGGAAGCTGCCCCTGTCTATGTGGGTGGGGTTGAATCTGGGGCAGAAGCCATCAATAGTGTCAGCATGGTTTTCAAGATCTGTCCAAAACTAGGGCATTGTTGCTGATGTTGAGCTGCCCTGGCCTGGAGGATTCCCAGGTACTGTTAGATGGATACTGGGTTTCTGACCTGTAGAAAAATTTTCACAGTATCAAAAAATCTCATCTAGTGAATCCCCTCCAGCCTCTTGTCTGGTTATGTTCAGTCTCCTACAT